ATCTTATTCAACACCTTCCTTGTGTTGTTAATTACAACTAGTTGCATAAAACTTCAAAAATGATGAGTTTACCCTTTGTAGCCCATATATTCACTGCATAACTTATTTATTCTAATGTGCTCAAAATATTACAAACTTGCAGGCATCTATTACTCCACCTCGTGTTATAATAATAAAGGAGAAACCACCAATTTTAATTCACGTTCTTCCCGACTGATATAAGCTCTGTTGATTTTCTAAATATTTTTATAATGTTTCTTAAAGTTCTGATTATGTTAGCAATCAGCCACATCTTTTTTACTTATGGATATGAAAAGATTCCCAAAGAGCTTATTATTTGTTGTGTCACTTCTGATTGTTTTTTTTTTCATTTCCTCCTATTACGACAATATAATAGTTATAGCATTTGCCTAATTTTTTGGTGATTAGCATCCTATTTCAAGACTTTTGTTTGAAGATGAAAGAAACATCAATAGATAAGTATTTAATGGACTTTATACTATAAATTCTAATTCTATCAAGTGTTCAGTATTGTTTTTCTGGTATGCGAAGAGGACAATAAAGTTGAATGGACTCACTTTCCAACTCAAATCATATGCTCTCGATCGTATTTGTTTAGCTCAATCCCCGCAACGCAGGGCTCCTCATCTAGTTTAATTTAAAGGAGAACAATCAAAAGTACAATATAAAGGGTATACCGTATTGGAGACTACAAATATGAAATACGTGATAATATCGAGGATGCTAACGTTAACTAGAAGATTGGACTCGCACATCTAAGACTTGAACAATTTTTTCCACCTTTTGGTTACGTGATAGCAACATTGACATCATTAAATTATGTATAGAGTTGGAATTTGGTATTCACTTAAACCATTTTTTCCACCTTTTGGTTACGTGATAGCAACATTGACATCATTAAATTATGTATAGAGTTGGAATTTGGTATTCCCTAGTTCATGTCTAAGCATTATCAAACTACATACCACAAGAGAATGTAATATATTGATATCCTATTAATGATGTGTTATGAAGTGATGATAATTAGACCACTAACAATGGGTAAACATCAACAATGAACCACGATTGTAATCCATCACAAGGAGAAGGTAAAATAAATAAAACATGCATGTCCATCTTATTATTTGCGAGTGTCAATGTCACAGTGTCACGAGTATGAGAATAACTTTTGGTAGCCATTTACAAATTTAACGGTATCTAAGTTTGATTTAAATAAAATGTCATATGTTATTCATTTATCTAGATTTTGTTTGGTTTCAAGGTTTTTAATTATACAAGACAAAATATACCAAAAAATAACAAAATTAAAAACTTTTATTTTAATAAGACGAAATTCATTATGATTCGAAAACACAAAAGCTTCTCTTTAAATTGAATGTTTTCATTCAAATATGGAAAAAAAAAATGCACCGACTAGAGATTGAGTTGTTGCATCTACAAAACCGGGTCAAAACTTCCTCGATCTAAAATGTAGATCGTAACCTTCAAAGGGAAAGAACATATGTTGCTCAACCAAATGTTGATCTTTTCCACAATCATCTAAATGCAATTTGCTATGTGTATTCTGAAAGATTTCCTTCAGGCGTGGTAGGCTTGTAGCAGGTGCCCTCTAATTTAAAAACACAATTATTCTTTAATTTATATTTTGGCTTTTAAATCAGGGTGGTATAAGTCCAATCACTTGTTTTCTTCATTATTTTTCACAATGACAAATACATAATTTGAGCTTTAAAAAATATATAAATTACAGAATAACATGTTATGAACATCAAACTGATTTCAGCATTTTCTTTGAAAACCGGTTAAAACGAAAATGAAAGGTTGGATAAATGATTGCAACACTTTCACATACATAAAATGAAAGTATCTGCCAACTTTAGGAATTTGATGTTTTTTAAATACTAAATTTGGACGCTTTACTCAAAAGAGTTTAACACTTACAAGAAATCAACTCTTTTGCTTTTCTTTTTGATTCGCCATAATAAACATGTTTTTATCCAGCAAAATTAATTTACTGTTTTGAAAATGTTATCTAACCTCCCAAATAAATTATAGCTCCCTAAAATATAACGCTTCTTTATATAAAAAACAAGTGTTAAACATGATAAACATTGTTTAACTTTTACACAAGTCATAGTTGTCCAATTTTGAAGTCATGCATGGAATCTTGATTTCTTGTTTAAAGTCATATAACAAGAACGGAAAACTATTGCAATAAGTTACTATCTATGATAATCATTTTAAACGATTAAAATTCCAAATAAAAGTATGGAGTATACATGAACTCTTGATTTCTTGTTTAACCTCATATATCAAGAACGGAAAACCATTTCAATAACTTACTATCAACATGATAATCATTCTAAACAATTACAATTCCAAATAAATGCATAGTGTATACTTGAGCTGAGCTCAATGTTGTATTTCAGACTTCACAAACACAATACCATTGTGAACAAATATTGAATCGTTAGTAAAATCAAACGCAAACAAGGTCACAGATAATATTGAAAATTATATATTGAATCGTCGCAATAAATAAGATTATTATTACTTAACTAGTTGTGTAACTCGTATGTTATACAGGTTCGATAAAACAAAAAATTAAATATGAAGATTTAAACAAAAAATTATTTAAATTTGAAATTTTAGATTTGAAATTTAGAATTTAAAATTTGAATTTAAAAAGGAACATATTAAATAATATATGAGAGTATTATTGTAATTTATTGATTATTTTCAATTAAGGTAATTATTAATTGAGGTGTAATATTATGTATTAATTGAGAGAGAGAGAGAGAGAGAGAGAGAGAGAGAGAGAGAAATGGAAAAAAAACATTTATTCAAAAATATCAAAAAAATTATGTGTCCAAGTTAATGAGAAAGTGAAATATGATAAAATTATTTTCATTTATTGGGAATGATTACCAAGTTTCGTCAAGAACCATATTGATCCTTTCACAATCAGATATGATTGTAAGCAGGCCGGTCCTGAGGATTTAAATATTCTCAAATATCCGTAACGAGCCAGAAAAATGGTCATTACTGCTATATATATATATATATATATATATATATATATATATATATATATATATATATATATATATATAAATAACAAAAAAGTGGGCCTTGAATGGTTGTCCAATTCCCGCTCTTATGATTGTAAGATATCTAGAAGAATAATATTATGTTGTCGGACGAATTAAAATATGATACAAAAATCAATCCAGAGAGATTATTATTACTTAATTACTAATTTTAATCAAAAAATCATATCAATCCTTCACAATCAATCGTATAAGTTTCATCAAGAAGTTATATTGATCATTTACAATCGGTTCAGATTTCAAGAAATATATAAGAATAATGTTCTATTGTCAGACGAATTAAAATAGAATACAAAAAGTTAAAATCAACATGGAGATCACTGACTGATTATTGACAGCTCCCAGTGATCTGCATCATGCAAAGTGCACCTAAATTGCGCCATTTTACAAAGCTCGTGTCATTGGTCTAGCTAGACGTACATATAAGCTTGACCCATCCCTTAATTTCCAGTAAAGCCTTTGAAAACTAAAGATGAGAAAAAACTTGTAGACTCTTCTCTAGTTCTCTCACCCACGTACATAGGACAAAGGAAAAATTGTCAACTTGCAATTTAACCTTCTCTTTCCAATAGTCACTCACCAAGTTGACAAATTTTCTTCACTCGTAGAATTTAATGTCACGGAGATTAAACTCTCGTTTAATGTGGACAATCAATAAGAGACGATTCAATGGTATCTTATAGATTTAACCCAAGAATTTTATGGCATCTCTGATTTACCCCCACACATTACGAGTCATCTCATCTTTGTGATCTCACTGAGTGTGAATATAATCATGCGCTATAAACCCTTTTCATGATCTTTTACAATATAAACCACTAATCTTTATTTGAGGCACAATATATCATATAGGTAAAGTTTTACATCATCTTTATTGCTTAGATGTCTCCAAAACTTTGTTAAGGATTTTAAATCAACCTCGTTCTCAACAATGTATTATCCTACCTCACATGGATCTATCATTATTAATAACATTTTCTTTCGTTAGTGACTTCGTTATTATCTTTAAACTTGAGAAATAGAAGCACTATTTTCAAGTTGAGTTTCCATATTCGATTGTGATTTTAGACCAACCTCTCATGGTAGTTCCAACCAACCCATGTGATTGTGCTAATGGATTGACTAACATTTATGGTGCTTTGTGGATGTTGTAATATTGGTGCGTATCACGTATCAAGATTCAAGATGTATTACGATGTTATGTTAAGCAATGGAAATAACACATTACCAAATGACCTAAATGGAACAGCTTTGTTAAAAGTACAGTGACTATGCTTGTAAAAAACAACAATGTACGTGGTACGAAACCAAAGATATGTAGCTATTTGATAAACTTATACCTTTCTTTTTTTATTGAAGTGGCTAAATATACTCAATTTCTCAAATACTATCCACTTTTGTTACAAACCAAATCAATTCTTTATAGCATGAACATTATTCCGTGCAACCAAAAAAATTTAATTGTTGCATTATGAGTCAAAACAATTGTAGGTCAAGTAAAAAGTAAAAAAGAAAATGACAACCATAGACAAAACCAATTATAATAATAATCTTCATGCCTAAAAATAAGATCCATAATTCAAAGGTTCCTCAAAATTAGGAGTCCTACGAGGGTACCCTCTAATTTCTTTATCATTTTGAATTCATACACCTTATCTTTCTCTACTTTCCTTCCAAATTTACCCTCCCCTTCTCCTACAGGTACCTTCTCTAAAGTCTTTTACCCAAACTATCAAACACATATTTGTTGAAATTTCATGTTATGATCATTCATACTCATATGTCTTCTAATCTTATCTTCATGATTTTCAGATATAAATTCTGGAGGAGTGGTGGGGGTTACCCAACCGTTCATAGTAAATTACCAAAATGTCCTCAACGCCATCCAATCAAGACAAGAAGTCCACATCCGCCAACAAAAACAAAAAACATGATCATAAATCAAAAATTTCACCTTTACATAAAATGCTACCATTTTTACACGAAACAAGTATTGGAGAATCATTAGGTAGTAGTGAAGATGAAGCCATCTTAGTAGGAGCCATTACAGGGGCTGCAAGTTGTTGTTGCTGTTGTCGTCGTAGAAAGAAAAGAACACACAAAAACACAAGTATATATTAACTATTAAATTTATCTGAAAACATTATCATTAACATTTAACCATGGTTAACATTGGTTATATCATTCATATATGCTAATTTTGTGGTTTAATGTAGATAGTGGCGATTATTATAAACGAAAGTCGAGTGACATTCCACTAAAGATGCCACCACCCATGGGGTTAGGTGTGAGTAGTTTCACATATGATGAGTTGGCGACAGCGACACACGGGTTTGATAGGTCTTTGCTTTTGGGGGAAGGTGGATTTGGGTATGTTTACAAAGGGGTGTTGCCTAATGAGAAGGAGATAGCTGTGAAGAGTCTTAAGCCCAATAGTGGTCAAGGTGAACGTGAATTTCAAGCGGAGGTTGATATTATAAGTCGTGTGCATCATCCCCATCTTGTATCTCTTGTTGGATATTGTGTATCTGGGAAAAAACGGTTGTTGGTTTATGAGTTTATACCTAATCGTACTCTTGAATACCATCTTCACGGTATGTGATAAACCCAAAATGGGTTGTGATTTCTTTCTTATTTACCATTTCGCCATTGTGATTAACGTCTAACATTCATGGTTTTATCTTTTAGACAAAGGTCGCTCGGTTATTGACTGTTCAACAAGATTAAAGATTGCTTTGGGAGCAGCCAAAGGCTCCGCTTACCTTCATGAAGATTGTAAGGACTCTCCATAAATACCATACATGACAATGACAAAACACGACAGTCTTGTACTGTGTCTGTACTGTGTCTGTCTGTGTCTAGCGTGCATTGGACTGGGATTAAGACTGATGTCAATGAGACAAAAATTGCAAATTTCTTGTCCTATTCAAAAAATTGGGGCAGGGACTCTCGCTCGATATCTCGTATGTGCAAAAGACGTAAATGCCCTTTTATTGAAAATAGCACTAGAAAGTTGGTCAAGTCCAGTCTAGTATTTTCCACCATGTAATGAAAGCAACTTCAACAATTGTTGTCTAACTTTCATGGCATGTAGGCAATCCACGAATTATCCATAGAGACATTAAGGCTGCAAATATATTAATTGATAGCCAGTATGAGGCCAAGGTACTTATAGTTCTATTATCCATTCGAGCTACAATAGAGGGTAATTATGTAATAGAGTTGCTAAATTAAATACTACTAAAACTAATCAGGTGGCAGATTTCGGTTTGGCAAAGCTTTCATCTGATGATAACACTCATGTCTCAACACGCATCATGGGCACATTCGGGTACATAAAAATTATCAAACAAGATTTACCATAAAATTTCATTAATAATAAAAAGATTAATAAATGTAAAGGTACCTCGCACCTGAATATGCATCCATGGGTAAGCTGACAGAGAAGTCGGATGTGTTTTCCTATGGAGTTGTGCTCTTGGAACTGATTACTGGAAGAAGACCTGTGGAACCAGATAGTGATGAAGATAGCTTGATCGATTGGGTAAAACTTCTTACAATTTACAAATAGTTTCTTCTATGCATACATTTCATATGTAACAATTAATTACCATGTTCTTGTTATTTATGATTTATCGTGTGGTGCAGGCTGAGCCTACCCTAATGCAAGCATCAGAAGGGGGAACTTATGAACAGATGGTCGATCCAATTTTGAGGGGTAACTATAACAGGGACGAGATGCATCGAATGGTAGCATGTGCAGCTGCTTGCCTTAGGCATGCCGCAAAGAAACGCCCTAAAATGAGCCAGGTACGAATGTATTAGGCAATAGGCATGAATGACCCTCTAGTCACATAGCTATCACTAATTCACTATCAGTCTAAGCAACCTGCAAATTTCAATCGTATCAACGTATGGTATGTGTATACATGACAGATTGTGCGTGTCTTACAAGGCGAGATGTCGTTGGATGAATTGAACGAAAGTGTTTAAAAAGGAGCCGGCCTAGACATGGATCGAACGGGGGAAGCAGTGCTTATGATATGCAAGCGAAAACAGGGGGTGATACAAGATACAATACAACTCGGGAATTGTGTCGAGCCAAGAATTGTCTAGCGAGGAACTTGGTATGTCCAGCGACTTTCCCGATACGCGCCAAAAAGACAGAAACCCTTGAATGATTAAACGGAAGGGAATGCAGGAAGATAGAAGGGTAAAGAAACCAAAAAGAAAAAGTGAAAGGGCTAGATGCAAAAGTGATAGCAATAGATCGACTTTGCATGATAGATGTTTCGCCAGTAGACGTAAGTCTCGGTATATGATGCTTGTCGTGAAGATTAGCATAATTAGCATAAATAGCATAAAGCTTCGTTTAGACATTTTATCAAACAGATGGTGGGAAGGCGTCTTGGGTTTGCTTGGGTTATTCTTGACATTTGCTATGTAATTTATAACAAGTTTCTGCCATAATATTGTGGATATCTATGTCAGAACACATACACCTCTTCAGAGTAATCCGGATAAAGTATAATACCAATCTCAAGTTTGAACTTGGAAAAATAGTCGGAATATGTTGTAATTTTTTTTTTTTCGGAGTTCAACTTAAATGGTTGAAAAATAAATAAATAAATAAATAAATGGAAAGTAGCGAAGAGAATTGAAACGATTACTTTTTATCTTTAACTTTTTTTTTTTTCGATTTGAAAAGATTTGAATAGAAATAATAAAATAATTAATTTTTTTTTCACTTTTTTCAAACTCGTTTCACAAAATAAAATTTTGTTTTCCTTTTATTTTTCTTTTTTTATCTCCTAACTTTTTTTTTTCTTTTATTAAACTCGAGAACTAGGCGTAATTGTAATTCTAACTTTTAAGGCGTGTTTGGTTAGATAATTCCCTCGAACTCATGCGTTTGGTTGAACTTAAAAGGGAAAATGATTCCTAAATGAAATAAATTTTTCATGCGAAGGAAAATGATTTCTTCTTAGGTTGGATGGAAAACATTTTTTTTCATTAAGAAAAATGTCAGATTACAAAAATACCTCAATTATTTATCAAAAAACAAACACACACCACTACTGTTATCGACCATCAACCGTTATTGCTATCACCACCTACCACCACTACCGCTACCATGCCGCCATCGTAGTCTCCAACCGCCTCCATCACCCATCACCAATAGTCATCGTCGTCACCACCATCACCTGTCATCGTCATTGTCGTCGCCACCACCACCACCATTGTCACCGTCACTGCCACCACCACCGTCATTGTCACCGCTACCAACACTACTGTTGCTGCCACCACTACCATCACCGTCACCTCCGTCATCGCGACCACTGTCACCACCACCACTACTACTACCGATGTCACCACGACCACTACTACTATCGATGTCACTACCAACACTACCACCACCCATCACACTACAGTCGCTGCTGCCACTAGCACCACCGCCACCGCTACCATCACTGTAACAGCCCGGAATTTTCAGGTATTTATTATTGGTGCATTTTTTAGAATTGTGAGTGGACTCGGCGAGTTGGAGCTCGAACTCGCCGAGTAGGATCGCGATTTTGGACGCGGGTTCACGTCTGGACTTGGCGAGTCCAAGAGTGGACTCGGCAAGTCCACACTGTGTAATGAAACCCTAATTCCCAGGGTTTGAGACCTATTTAAAGGGCCTTATGGTCATCATTTGTGCTCACCAGTCCATAGAGAGAAACCCTAGAGTGCTTGAACGTTTTGAGAGAGAAAGGAAGCTATTCTTGACCTTTGTGGTGTTGTTTAGCAAAGAAGAAGGAGGTCCTAGCCAAGAGGAAGCAAAGGAGGTTGTTATACTGTGGATTTGAAGCTTAGATCATTGAACTTGAGGTATTATTTCAGCTCATCTTCTGTTTTATGGAGTATAATTGGATTTAGGGTTTCTTGTGGCCTTTGTTGGGTTGATTTGATGGCCAAATAGTCCCTTGCTAGTGATGAGGCTTTGGATCTGGATCCATAGAGGTCCAAATAGCCTCATTCATCAAGCTTTATGAAGAACAATGAAGGTTATGACCTTGAGTTGTGGTATTAGTGGCTAAATCATCATATATGGTCATATAGAGGTTTTATGTGCATCAAGATAGCGACTTTACGTGATAAATAAGCTTGAAAGGACTGTTTCTATGAGTTAGTGGAATAGATCTGACCTTAGGAGTGAGTTTGAGTCGTTGCATGGCATGGACTCGCCGAGTCCGAAGAACAGACTCGACGAGTAGCATGAAGATTTCCTAGCACCACTCAGCGAGTGGTCTTGCCGAGTTGAGGGATTGACTCAGTGAGTCAGGTTGACAGGTGGACTGAGTCAAGCTGGGACTCGCCGAGTTGTTCTTAAGACTTGGCGAGTTGAGTCGTGGAGGCCCCACAACTCATGCCAGGTGGAACTCGTCGAGTTAGGAGAATACTCGACGTGTCAGGTGAGGATTTAAGGGAAATCAGTGTATGCGCTTAGACTCGCCGAGTCGTTATAGTGCACTCGCCGAGTCCGGTCAAAGTTGACCATTGACCATTGACCAGTGTTGACCTATGTTGACTTGTTTAGGGATAGTCAACCTTAGTTGGGAAAGTGTTAATTAGAGATGTATTGTGATATAGGAGGACTATAGCTCGGGAGATCGAGCACTAGTGATTTCAGGGATTTACGATTACCGAGACACGCAAGGTGAGTCTTCTCACTATACTTTACCTTGAGTAGGTAAATAGAGTTATGTGATACAATGCTTGTATGCTATATTTATATGTTATGTGTTGCGCTGCATTATTCTTTGTGAATTATGTTGTGCATGTTTACAAAGTTAGAACCTGAGGGTTCACAGAGTTTGGGTGCACGGACCCACAGAGTTATAGCCTCAAGTGGCTAATATGTGTTATATGTGGTATTTTGGGGAACTCACTAAGTTTTGTGCTTACAGTGTTTGGTGTTATTTGTTTCAGGTACTAGTGACGACCGCGGGAAGGCGTCGGCTTGATCCGTACACACGCATGAGATTTATGATTTTGAGATCTTGAGATTTTTGTATTAATTGGATTGAATGTTCAAAATGGTTGTTTTATTATTATTAAGTGAATTATGGTTTATAAAATTTGAAAATTTTGTTTTGAAATTTATGGTATTACAAGTTGGTATCAGAGCCTTGGTTTGAGGGATTCGGGTACACCTTCAGGAGTATTTGAACTCAACCTGAGGATTTGGAAAAATATTTTCAAAAGAGAACCAAATTTTTCTAAAAGTAAAAGATTTTTAGGGAAATCCAGAGAAGAAACGTGTGTACGATCAGTCAGCGCCCGAACGATGATTTCCCAAAATACCCTTATATTATATGTTTATGAAAATTGATATGATGTATTCTCTTGCTAGAGTAGGCTAGGTATTCCTATTAGGACTAGAGTGCCCTGATTTGTGATGCCTTAGCCTAGGGAGAGGTGAGCTGCTATGAGATGCTTGAGAGTGAATAGGTAGCAGCGAGGAGCTTATGAGAGATCTATTAGAGAGTGATAGAGTACATGGAAATTGGGATCCGAAGAGGAGGATTTGGGGTGTATACTGAAGCGGTGTGGACAGTAGTATTGGGCCCGTACTACTGAAAGCACCGGGGCGGTATACGGTCCAAGTAAGAATCTTCGAAATGCCAAGGATCAAGGAGGGATGAGTTGTCAAGTGTGAGTATGCTCGAGCGGATTCTAATTTATCATATGTTGTATTTCAGAGGTTGATCATGGTGAGGACATGTCATATGCCAGAGGGCGTCGGGGCTAGTGATGAGGAGATCCGTCAAATCATTAATGATGAGGTGGTTACGGTCATCAGGGCAGAGATACCAGAGATGTTCGGGTCTATTAAGACCGTACTGATTGAGACTTTCGACGAGCGTTATGCTGCACTTTCTGAGGCTGCTGTTGCGGCAGCCACCGCAACTGTTGCTGCTGCGAGGCCGCAGGGTGGTGATGCGTTGATGTTCCGGGAGTTCAGCAACACGAAACCGCCAGAGTTTGATGGGACCCAGGACCCGGTGGCGGCTATGAGATGGATTTCTGACATAGAGGGGTGTTTCTTCACTTGCTCATCTCCTGAGCATTTGAGAGTACGGTTCGCGCTGAACCAGCTTCGCTTGGGAGCGAAGGACTGGTGGAAGTTTGTCACAACACACTTTTCGCCTGCTGAGCTTGCGGCAGTGACCTGGGAGAGGTTCACTGCCATGTTTTGAGATGAGTACGTTCCCCAGGTGGAGAGGGACCGTTTGGACCAGGAGTTTCTGACCCTCAAGCAGGGTACTGAGTCTGTTACGGTGATTACCAGGATGTTTCACGAGAGGGCGATGTTCTGCCCTGAGCACGTGTCCATTGAGCAGGCATGTATGAGTCGGTATTTGAGTATCTTGAGGCGAGACATTCAGGAGTTTGTGGCGAACTCCTCATACCGGACATTTGCTGAGCTTCAGGCAAATGCCCGGAAGAGGGAGATCGAGCTGGAGACTCAGGCTAGGGAGGAGGCTGAGTCTCAGGGAAGGGATCGGCGACCGGCACAATTTCAGCCGGCAGCCAAGCGGGCCAAGCCCGCTGATCACAAATCAGGGATCCAGAATGGCCGCACTTTTGGAAAGTGCGGCAAGGGTCATGATGGAGTATGTAGAGCTGGATCTTGCTACAAATGTGGCAAGGAGGGACATATGGCCAAGGACTGCCCCAAGGGGTTTGCAGTGTGTTTCCACTGCAACCAGACCGGACACCGGAAGGTGGAGTGTCCGCAGTTACGGGGATCAGCTCAGGGAGCACTTCAGGGATCTGCCCCTGCCGCCATCAGAGCTACCGAGAGTTGGGCAGTGAAGGTCGAGGCGCCGAGGGCACGTGGGAGAGCGTTTCAGTTGATCGTGGAGGAGGTCCGCACAACGCCCGATTTCGTAGCTGGTATGTATGCTTTCGTGTATTTATTGTAATGCTGAGATATTATGCTTATATTATGTTATGCGTAAGTACTTTTCTTGTGAATTCTGTACCTGCCTTGATATTATTTGACTCGGGTGCGAGTCGGTCTTTTGTATCTTTGGCTTTTAGTCAGCACATCAGTGTTAGTCGCGAGGCGCTGAGTCGGCCTCTGAGAGTTTCCATAGCTGTATATATGCCACGGAGGTGATCCATGGGTGCGTACTCGAGATTTTTGGTGTTCAGTTCCCGATTGATTTGGTTCCTACTGCCATGGGGGATGTCTGTGTCATTGTGGGCATAGATTGGTTGAGCAGA